CTCACCACATTTGCCCCTACCCACCTTTACCAGTTGGCCCTGCTAGCTGGGAGGGCACACCAGCACTGCGTGTCTGCACAGAGCTCAGCACGCAGGCTGGCACCTCACCACCCTTCACTGACGCTGCTTTCATGGGGTCACATTTAGGGCTGCAACCCACAGTCAGACCAAGGCCCTTTCTTGAGAGATGCATATAAACCAGTTGGTCTGGAAGGAATTCTTTGCGTTGCTCTGCAAAGTGTACTTTCAAAGGTGATGGGAGAAATGTAAAGAGATTTTTTTCAATATGACAGTAAAAAGAAAAAAAAAAAAAAGCAGAGCACACAGGGGGATAGGAATAGGGAATAAGACTTGACATGCTTTTTATCCTCATGGAGAAGCTTAGGAAACATTTAAGCAAGGGAGAAAATGACAACAGCTTAACATTCCTAGCTGCATAATAAAAATTAATACCTGCAAAATGATAAACATTGCAGAGTAACAAGCTTAAAAAGGCAAGGAGTCCCAGCCTGCCTCTTCACTGTGAGATTTAAGAAGTCAAACAAATCTCTACTTCATCAAGCACCAGACTGATCTCCCGAAACACACAGGTTTTGAATTAGCACAAAGTCAGTTCACATCTGGAGGACAACTGCACAGGCTGAAAAGGTGGAGGGTTATTTTGGATTTGTCTTAAAACAAACAAACAACTGCATTCAAATATCTAAGCGCATATCACTAATATTGTATTTGTGTGCGTACTGGGAAGTACACAAGCTGTGTGTCGCTCTATATCATATATACCCTGTACATACAGAACTCCCATTTAGCAATTTCTCCTCCCTCCACCCTTACAGTATTAGGTAAAACACTGCAAAGAAGAGTGCAAATATGTGTAATGTCTTGGCAACCTTACCACATACTTACCACATACCGTAGCAATAAAAACTTTCCATGGCTTCTCTAAAGGAACCATGGAGTTGTAAAGTTCTCAGTGCAAAAGTTACAAAAGTAACATGCCACATTAGATAGGCGCCTCAAACTCAAGATACTACAAAATCTAATGCTCAGTTGACTGGTCCCACAGAGGAAATCAGATGCACGTGAAGGTTTCTCAGATCCCTTCCTGATTGCAAGAACTGCCCAAAGTAACCCCCAATCCCAAGCAAAGCCCTCTATTTCATACAGACCAGGTGCCAAGTGCAGTGCTCCAAGAAGACACTTCCCATTACCCAGCACTTGATGCCCAGAAGCCTCTTTTAAAGGTGAGATGCCTGCAACTATCTTCCAACTTTTTTTTTTTTTATTTTTTTATTTTTTTATTTTTTTACAACAGACAGAGAAGCACAAAACCCTTACATGAAGTGCACATCCTGCCATACCCGAGTATCTCCTTAAGATAAGAAAACGTGTTCAATTGATCTCCTTTAAAGCCCTTCAGGCTTACGGAAAACAGCCAACCCACTAGCTCAGTCTGTCTGGAAGCAGCTTTCTCCTCCGTAGCCTGCACCTCCATGTGGTTTCAGAAACATGCAGGAGAAAGCTGGAGCCCAGCTGCCCCAGCAGCCTACTGGTCTGCATGCCCAACTGGGAGGGACAAGTGGCAGAAGACAGCAGGGTTTCTAATTCCAGTCTGCAGAATTGTTCCTTACCCTGCAGCCATCACTGCAACCAAAGTAATCACCTCCAGTTTTATCCTAAAGCCTTTTAGGTACGCTCTAATACCACACTTCACTAGTGCTTCACACTGAAGGGCAAAGTCATACTCATGCCGTTACTTCATCCCTTCCCATGCACCACCAGCAATTTCCTACTGGCCCACAGTAACCCAGGCTGGAGGAAAGGAAAAAGCAAAATTTCTACTTTTGGAAATCAGAGTGTGTGTGGGTGGCTGACCACTGTCCACGTCTCAGACTCAGCTCTGAAGGGAGCAAGGCAGCATATCTTTCAGGCTCACACCTGATGAAATGAACTGATGCACTGCCTGAAAAGAAGCGTCCTGGTTCATGCAGGATCTCCAGGATGATGGGATATTCAAGAGATTAACTTGGCAAATCCCACTGCATGCTTAAAATGCCTAAGCTTTTCACCAAAATTCTCAGTGTTCCTAATCTTTTTTTTTGTTTGTTTGACAGGAGAGAAAAAAAAATGAAAAACATGCGTATGCTACAGTAATAAAATAACTCAGACTAAAAAGCCTCAGGGTTTCCCCATGGTTCTTGGGTTGTTACTGGAAATGGCTATTCCAGAATAGTATTTTTCAATAGCAACAACACACCCATAAATTCATAAATTAATCTAAATCAGTACTCCCATACTGGAATAAGAAAATCCCAGAAGTTTATCCTGAGATATTCTAGAATAACTATTCTAGACGTTTTGTCGTAATCAACTTCTGAACACAGTAAAGCCCTGAAGGCTGAAGAGAAGCCTGAAAATTAATTAAAAAAAATAATAATCTCACTACAAAATTTTTGCAATATAAAGTAAAGTAGTAGATAAGGACTAACCTTTTTTCCAGGTTTTAAACTTTTTTTCCTTGTTTTAAGATTCTCAGTATGAGAGGTGCTTTTGATCAGGGGAATATTTTTAGGAGACCTGCCCTTCTTGGGAACTGTAGACTGTCCAGGGGGTTTGCCCCGACCTGGTTTCCTGCCCCGCTGCGCTGGTACTGGAGCAGATTTCTGTGGAGACTGCATTGAACGCCGGGTCACTTTGGAAGGGGAAGATTGGATTTTTGCACTGCTCTTTGTAATGGAAACTGAGGAAAAACAAAAACAAAAGGGAAGGGGGGGAAAACCTCAAAATGAACGATGGAAAGCAACTTTTCTAATAAAGGCTTAAAAAAAAAAAAGTGTAGTGCACAATTTACATTGTAAAATAAATATACTTGGATATTTTGAACCCCACTGGTTGGCACGAAACTACGTAATTTCATTAAAGCCGAAGAGAGAATTCTTTATACCCATTATTTCAAAAGGGACCTTCCTAAGAAAAAAAAAAAGAAAAAAAAAGAAACCATTCAAATAAAAATAAAAAAGAATTAATTCACTCACCTTATAAATGCTTCCCATGATTTGCATCATCACAAGATAAAGTACCATTCATCAAGAAGGCCTACATAATACTCCATAAGGTATACAGCCCATAATACATCCACTCTCCTCCCAGAACAGTTCCCACAATTACGAGACATGCCAACAACTTCTAGCAAGCTACAAACCAATTCTGAGCAGTGAAGAAGTCATCCAATTAAGAGAAGAAATTGATGACAGGCAAAGTATTGTTCATCAGTGTTTGTCTGAGACGTCAGGTTAGAAAGTTCACATAACTGTACTCAGATTTTTATACTTGGAACAGATTTGATTTTTTTTTTTAAATTATGTTTTAGTTTTGGAAGCCAAAATAAAATGTCATTTTTATTTCATCTTAACATTGGAGTGGTTCTCTGTTGATTCTTCCATCCCAATAGAAATCTGATCCCCTACATACAAGATGCGTCTGCATTATAATCTGATGAGAAGCTGCAAATTGTAATCAGATTTCATTGAACAAAACTTCTTAGTCTGCTATCATTTCCACCCATCTCCCTTCTCTGAAGCACATTTTACTGTAATGATTCCCCTAGCAACAGACTGATTAAAACATGAGGAGGATGTCAAATGGAAGATATCCTCAATGAGGAGACATCCCACACCACACTTCTTGTGGCCAACAAAAGCAATGACCAAGTCCACAAAAAACTACATTCTGTTTCTTGGACTGAGTGATAATGGACAGGCAGATGCAGAAGCAGCTAAAGGAGAGGGAAGAAGAGAATGAAAATGGGAATTTTTGTGAGGATAAACCACCCTTGTTTTGAGAAGCATGGGAAGGAAGAGGAGAAAATACAGCATCTGTGAAATCATTTGAAGTCTTGGCACTAAACTTAGTTGGTTTTCTAGTATCATACTGTCTTTAACACTAGCTTTTTGCAGCTTGCTGATACAGGAAAAACTCCATGATCCACACTAACTATAAACACCACGAGCTTAATGTGACATGATGCAGAAGTACTACAAGTTAGGGTTCAAGTGGGCTTTGTGTGAGTCACCAGTGCCCGATCCAGAGGGCTAATGCAGTCCAAAACTGGAACACATGGGCCTTCTAAAAGATGATTTCTTGGGTTTTCATGAATTTATAGCAATTCTTCCCCTACAATGTTAGTGCATTGATACTTTCTGGTAAGCAAATGTAACTCAAAGATACATCTGAAATGAAATCTGGAGAATATACTTAGCGATTAAGCAATAATTTTAACAGTAGCTATTTGAGTGACAGTCACCTGAACATTTCAGTACGTAGCTTTACAACTGTTATTTTGGCTCTGAATTTTCATTCAAGTTAACTGTTATGAAGTATTTGCAGTAGCAAATATAACAATAAGAATGAATTACATACTACAAGCAGATTTTTGAAACACAAGGTCTACTGACATCCATTTTTAAAGCTTTTGTTTACAAACATTGTGATTTGTTTGATTTGATTACTAATCCAATATTCCTAAATGGCAGTTCAGAAGAATTTTTTTCACTATGACTGGTTGCAATCCTAATACATTAAATACAGACATTACATCCCTAGGTACCTGAGAAGAACCACCTTCTCAGTGTGGAATGTAATCACTTCCCTATACCAAAACTTATTTTCATAGGCAATGATAGTTCAAAATAAGCTGAAAAGAATTTTATTCAACTGCTGGCAAAGCACTACTCTCATGGCTCTGAATTGCTGAGTGACAATTTGAATTAACCAATATTTCTGGAAAAGCAGAGCAGTATCAACTACATGCTATACTACAGAGTACTACATATTACATGTGTTATGCTTACATGAATGCAAAATACAGCTGTTTTTATTTATTCATGCTACACAACTAGGTGTTAAGCTATCGTGACCTTGTAATTGTTGGTTCACAAATTCTTTGTGCCTCTGCTGAAATCTAGCAAGTGTTCCTTCATTTTCCTTCATAGTAAATACAGCGTACATTAAATACAGAACTAATTACAATGTCAACAGGTCCTAGAAGCACAGGTATGAGTTTTGATATTCTGAGCAATCCTAGTCCCCTAGGATTAGGGGGATATTTACACACAAAGAGTAACAATGCAAACAGTTTAACCACTTCAGGCCGCCCTCCTGAAATACACATAGCAAGTATTCTTAGCACAGCATCTTCCTACCTGTATACGCCAAAGGACCAAATATTAGCAGCATTAACCACTGGGGGGAGGGTCAGGTCCCATTTGATATTTTTTCTTCTAACTAAAGCTGAAGCTGCTTTTTTCAGCACGCAGGACTACAACAAAGCCCATGCTGCCTGGGCAGCCTCCCTGAGATAGCAGCAAATGAGGAGGCAGCTATTTGCATTTGTTGATTTAAGAGAGGAGGGGGGCAGTGGGAGACTGCTAAAGTAATTCACATATTGTCTGCAGGCTGTATTGACAGTGATCATCAGTCACCTGCTCATGCTTCCTTCACCCCAGCCTTCAGAGGGAGACCAAAGGTTATGCTGGGTCAGAGGATCTAGGGGGAAATGAAAAGACATGTAAAAGCTAGTTGCCAACCCCACTGCATCTGCAGACCAAGTTATCCCCACTAGACCACATGTTCCAAAAACTAAGATGCTTTAATAGTCTCATGAGAACTTGTTAAAATATATCAATGAAAAGAATAGAGAGAAAAAGTGCCAAGCTCTGCTTGCAATTACTGCACTATTTAGCTGAGATATTTACAACAGAAAAAAAGCACATTTGCCTTTTCAGGATACTGCTTTGCATCACAATAGTCTTCTCATTTGCACAAACAAAATAAAGCATTTGTTTCATGCTGCTCTTCTACAAAAATATCAACTGCTCAAGTTTCAAGAGTTTGATGCATTGCATGGCATTCTTTCCCAAGTCTCTTATTTATATCCAGAAACCACTCTGGTGTCCTCAATAACCAAAGACCATAAACATCCTTTACCATAGTAATGTTAACAACTAAACACAGTTTTCAAAGGCCACAAGAGTTCTTGTTATTTTGTCAAGCTAGCAAAGGCTATAGTTGGCTACGCTCATGCAATACGCAAAGAACTTTCAAACCTTCAGTGACTGCTCTTTCAAAACATTACCAACCTACTGTCCAAAATAAATCCTGTGAGAATCTGGCACCTATAAACTTTGTATCCTATGTATTTAAGGGAAATGCAAACCCATATACTTCCAAAGCCATAACCTTAAGATGCATTACCACCATTCAGTCCAAATTTGCACAAATAGATCCACTGGAGTCAACCAAGTTACTTCCATGAAGTGGATATGAAAGATTAGATTTTATACCAGAGCCAATTCCTGCTTGTAGAAGCAAAAAAAAAACTGATAAGACACATGCAGGACTGCAAAATCGGACTCTATAATGTTAACCCCACGTCCTCTTGCTGGAATAAGTCAGATATGTAAGACAAGTGTGAAATTTAAAGCTACTGAACAGCTCCAGCACTTGAGAAGGGATGGAACAGATGACAGCTCTCATGCAATTCTAATTACTAAAATTCCCTCAAATAATCCACAGCAACAGTTTCACTATACCTCTTTAACTAACACCAAGGAAAAAAAAAATCTTCCAATTTGTAATATTAACATTTCAAATCTACTGTTCAGTTAGTGTCACAGAGCAGCAATTACAAGAAATGATTTAAGAAATTTGAAGCAAAATTGCATGAAGCAAGGTAGGAATCCATTTTTCCACACGTGAAAACAGCATTCCTACCTCAGGTGAAGCTGCCTATTAGGACAGTAAAAACAGTAATTCAGAGTTTAGATCATCTTTTCTTTCAAGAAAAGGAGTTATTTTGTTTGTAATGCAGTATAGCTCACATGCCTCCCTGAGAACGAAGCAGAACATTCTTCTGAAAATGTAAAAGCCTGGCCCACTCTCATCTGCAGATTAATAAAATTGAGGCAAAGAGATTTAGCAACTTACCCTAAATCCATGGGAGAATTCCACAGCGGAAGTAATAGAAACACTACTTGAATTCTAGCCCTGAATTTTAACTATTAAATTAGCATTCTTTAATACATTACATATTTATTGTGATAGTTTTGACAAACTGGGAAAGGAGGTGGAAAAGATTAGCAGGTTTTCAAAACAGCTTACTGCTAAGCATTACTAAAACGTACATGCTCAGTTGAAGAAGCAGAGAGTCATATGAAAGTATCTGTAATACATGCTGTTTCTATCCATTATTTATATTTCTGCCAATATTTTTAAAAGGAAAAAAAAAAGTGTTATTTTGCTATCTTCTGTGAGCAGTCCTTGCCTTCTGCAGTCCTGAAAGGTGAAATGGAGGACACTAAGCAATATGAGATAGAATTAAAGCAAAGTGTTTCTTTAACCCGGACTTCCCTTAACAGCACTTCAGCACTCTTGCTCCATCACCTCCATCCTCAGGCACAGCCCTGATCTCCCCTGTTGTCAATAACTACTGAGGCCAGCACCTATGGAACAAGCCTGGGATCTTTGTGGATACCTATGAAAGTACAAAGTAAGCTCCACCAAATCCCACTGCTCACCAAACAAAGATGCATCACTTTCAAAAAAAAAAAAACCCAAACATTTTTAATAACTCACACGGGTGCTGGCAGAAGTGAGGCAAACAGGAAAAAAAAAAAAAAGACTCCTAGAAAGATCCCTACAGTTAATCTTCACAAAGCAAGAACTGTGAAAAGCCAGCTTCTA